ATCAAGATCCTCAATGATCTCCAGGTAATATTCATACTCTATCTGAGCACCGGGTCTGACGGCCAACTCCTGTATCGAAGTAGCATTTTGAGGGGCCCGACAGAGACGCACATTTGCTTTATGGATGACTTCTTGCCAAATTGGTTTCTTCCCCTTCAAGTGCCAAGAATCTGTTGGCCTCGGCTGTGGAGTCGAGGATTTTCTTGGGGATCCGTTATGCAGGGACAAGTCTGTGGGTTGTGCATTCTGGGCCACGGGAGAGCTATGGCCGAGGAACAGCAAATACAAGGACAACTTGAACATGGGACCAATCTGAACAGGAAAAGCTGGATCCCGCGCAAACTGTGTGTCTCCGACAGTCAACAAGGTACTTGCCTGCAGAAGCCTCGAAGGTGAAACGCTGGCAGGTAAAGAAGAAGATAGACTTTCTCCTGAAGCTGAGATGGCCAACTGCAGGAGCGGAATCTCTCGATCGATCCGGTCTAGCAATGCCTTGATATCGCCAACGACCTTGACGATGTCCTCTCTACCTTTCTGAGCACTCCGAGGAGTAATGTTCTCAGAACCCTCGATCTCCCATTTGGCAACAATGGCCTCGATCCGCTGACCCAAGGATGTAATTTCTCGGTGAAGAGAGCTTGCAAGAGGGAGTGCTGAGTCCAGAAAAACATTCCCACGACCAGCTCTGTAGCATGGTCAGTTTCACAGTCTATGTTGGTGAGGATTAAGGAACCTTCGATGACTGCCCGAGAAAGTTGTACTCACTTGAATTCTACAAGGTCGATAGCCGGGGACACTACCTTGATTTTGCTGTCCAGTAATTTTTCCAATGCCCGGAGTTGTGCAGTTACATCATGATACTGCACTGGTGCCGTTTTCAACAGCCGTGAACACTGGCTGATGGCATAGGATGATGTCAAGCCAATTCCGGATCTAATGGCGTATTTCATGGCTTGGGCGCCAAGGGTAGCCAGAAACTCGTCCATCTTGGCTGGGCGTGCTGAGAAGGCAATTTCATGACTGAAGATGAAGGCGGGATCAACAAACGCAGCGAAAAAAGGAAAGAAGCAGACTTGCGCACGCTCAGCTCACGGGTGAATACACAGCATGGTGAATGTGAATTTTGTTCACGCTTTATTTGTGTATTTGTTGTGCTTGGTTTCACAGGCCGGAATTATGTAGCGGCCATGTAGCTGTGCCAATAGTCAGTACCTGACAAGTGATGTGGCATGCTTCACTTCAGGCTGCGACGGACCCACATTTGCCATCGAGAGCTGTCATCCGCTTGGCCACAGTGCGCACTATCAAAATGCACGTTAATTAATACTTACCCTGTCGCCATTGAGTTGCGCTGCCTTGAGCTACCACGGGTGACTCACGGGAAGTCGCGTCATAAGGCTTCACATCAGAAGGCTCTGGATATGGAATGATGGGCACCTGGGCAGGATGAGGCGCCTTGTTGAGTCACTAATTGCCTCGTATTTGGGCATTCGTAGTGGATGCCTGGCAGCTCTTATGCGCTTATCGTACAGTGCTTGGTAACCCCTCCAAGGGACAAAGTGGGCGGCCAAAAGACCACTCTCCTCCCCCAGCGTCATGGTGGTGGGGCTTGAATTTTCACAATCACCTTAAATTCAAAGACTTCATCAGGCAGCGCGACCATTCTCGCGACCGACCCAGTCTAAACCGGTCCTGCCTACGAGATAATCGGTGATTTTCGCCGTCAAAAATCTCCTGTTTCTTTTCGAGCCGTTTCGTCGAGTGTCGCGTTTCCGACCCTGCGTAACAAAGCGCACCTTCCCCTCCATCCTCAAGTTCGAGAATACACTCGTCGCAACCAACACCCCCGTGCGGCGTCGCTACCGAATCTACACTCCATACCATTCCCTCGCGAAACATAAATCACCATGTCTCACCTCAACTCTTGGGAAGACGACCCTGCCGCTCAGGATGAGAACCTGTCACGGCAGACTCAGCAACAGTTAAACATGAACCCCGCCCAAGGCAGTTTCCGCCCAGGTGTCGCATCGTTCCAACCTGGTGCTCAAACCTTCCAACCTGGACAGCCTTATGCCGTGCCCCAGTACCAACAGCAGCAGCAGTATTATCAGCAGGGCTACTACCCCCAGTACGGTGGCCAGCAACAGCAGCAACAGCAGCAGCAACCGCAGCAATTCAACCAATTCCAGCAATACGGTGGTGGCTTCAGCCAAGGATATAACAACCAGGGCTACAGTATGCTTACCCGTCCTCGTGTGGTGGTTCTGCAAGAAACATCGAGCTAATAATCTTCACAGGTGGCGGATACCCCCAGTACGGCCAACAGCAGACTCAACAGCCACAGCAACCACAACAGCCAGCCGCCCCAGCCGCCTCTACCCCAGCCGCTCCCCAACCCCAAGTATCTAAGGAGGGAGGTGCTAAGGTGCTCAGCATTGGGGGAGATGCGCCCAAGCCCAAGGCCAAGGTTCTTTCCATAGGTGGAGCTGCCCCGGCCAAGCCCAAGGAAGCATCCAAGCCCAAGGAGGACACCAAGCCAGAGCCTTCAAACGCCCCGGAGGCCGGCCAGAAGGCTGCTGCCGTGAAGGCTATCGAGAAGACCGGAGAGAAGGCTGGTAAGGCCGCCGCATCCGGTGATAAGACCTCTGGAAAGACCTCCCCCAACTCTTCGGGTCGCTCGAGCCCCGTAAGCTCCGGAGAGAAGAAGTCCCAGCGGGATGTCGATGCCGTTCAGAAGGAACAGGTTGCGGACGTCGACCAGGAGACCCTCAAGGAAATTTACGGCAAGGAGCATGTCAACATCATCTTTATCGGACACGTCGACGCGGGCAAATCCACTCTGGGTGGTTCCATTCTCTGGTCAACTGGTATGGTCGATGAGCGAACCATGGAAAAGTACAAGAAGGAAGCCAAGGATATGGGTCGTGAATCATGGTACCTTTCATGGGTCATGGATATCAACAAGGAGGAGCGTTCAGTGGGCAAGACTATCGAAGTTGGCCGAGGATTCTTCGAGACCGAGAAGCGCCGCTACAGTATCCTGGACGCCCCAGGCCACAAGACTTACGTACCAAACATGATTGGAGGTGCATCACAGGCTGATGTCGGTATTCTGGTCATCTCTGCCCGCAAGGGTGAGTACGAGACCGGATTCGAACGTGGAGGTCAAACCCGTGAACATGCTATGCTTGCCAAGACCCAGGGTGTGAACAAGCTTATTGTTGCCATCAACAAGATGGACGACCCTACTGTGGAGTGGTCCCATGACCGATACCTGGAATGCACAACCAAGCTGAGCCAGTTCTTGAAGGGGACTGGCTACAACCTCAAAAATGACGTCTTCTTCATCCCCGTGGCCGCTCAGGTTTCCATGAACATCAAGACCCGAATCCCCAAGGATGTTGCGCCTTGGTGGGAGGGACCTTCCCTGCTTGAGTACCTTGACAACATGCAGGCCCTCGAGCGAAAAGTGAATGCACCCTTTATGATGCCCGTCAATGCCAAGTACCGAGACCTGGGCACCATGATTGATGGCAAAGTCGAGGCTGGTGTTCTCAAGAAGGGCATGTCCCTCATCATGATGCCCCGAAAGGACAAAGTGGAAGTGTCTGCTGTATACGGAGAGCAGGAAGACGAAATCCCCATTGCCCAGTGCGGTGACCAGGTTCGCATCAGGCTCAAGGGTATTGAGGAAGAAGACATCCTGCCTGGTTTCGTCATCTGCTCCCCCAAGCGACTGGTCCACAACGTTGCCGAGTTCGAGGCTCAGATTCGAATCCTAGACCTGAAGAGCATTCTGACCTCGGGTTTCAACTGCGTGCTTCACGTCCACTCGGCCATCGAAGAAGTTACCTTCGCCTCTCTCATGCACAAGCTACAGAAGGGAACCAACCGCAAGAGCAAGAACCCCCCAACCCACGCCAAGAAGGGCGACAGCATCATCGCCCGGCTGCAGATTATTGGCGGGGCTGGTTCTGTCTGTGTCGAACGATTTGAGGATTACCCCCAGATGGGCCGCTTCACTCTCCGTGATCAGGTTAGTACCCTCTTATATTCTCTTCTTGCTCTTCTACTGTGCCCTTTCTCCAGCTTACCTATTTCCCGTTCGCGTTTTCATTACTAACTTTGCGTTTTTGCAGGGACAAACTATTGCTATTGGTAAGATCACCAAGCTCATCACAGATTCTTCTTAAATGAGCCGACGGGAATAGATATACAAGGGTCCCCAAGCCACATACAAAGTAAAAAGAAAAGGATAGAATGAAAGAGAAGGATGAATAGCCTCGGGCCTTTTTTTCTTCGAGAAAGGACGTTTTCGGGTCCAGGCAAGAGACGCCTGGCCGACAAACTCAAAAAAAAGGGCACTACAACCCAACCGTCATGAGCCGACCAATGTCGCTTGTATGAAACGCTCACGATGCATGGATGGGCGGCGTGAAGGGGCACTTGGTGTGCGTAGTAGGGATATGTATCACACCGCTCAACGGTAGGGAACCCCTATTTGCAGGCGGGAAATCCAGGCTCATGCCGAGATTGGGGGGTGGCCATGATTTGCATCCATAGGTTCCATAGCGAAGCACCAAAAAACGGGGTTATTTTTGTTTTTCCTCCAGGTTAAATGGCCACGGCCGGCCGTCGCATCATGCACAACACATCACAGCAGGCGCACGTAAACGGCAAGTGTATGTGGGGGAGGATGGAGTCGCAAGGATCATCATATAACACATGCGCCATGCCAATATGTCACCACGGCTATTACCGCGCATCTTGGGGAATGGCCCAGGCGAGATGGGAGATTGCTCCAGATACGGCCACATGCCTATGCGGGAGGATGCGGACGGGCGGTACGGCTGCCCGACCTGAGGCTGTGGTGCTTACTGTCTGTTACATCACAGTAGTAGCCGCTTCTGCTGCTTGCTTGCTTAGATTTGCAGCAGCGGCGACTGGCCGACAGGCTGTAATGATCCCTGAGGCTCAAGATGCGAAACCAGTGGTCCACTTTAGGGCTTCCCACGCAGGCTCTTACATGCCGAAGGGTGTGCAAAAGTGAAGGGGGCTAGGTGCCTAGTTGCAACGAGGACGAAAATGAGCCGGAACTGGGTGGTTGTCGCGGGGTTGGGCTGGACGCATAGATAGCACGGAACGGCGATTGAATGGTGGAGGGAGAACGGGTCGGGGCCGTGCGGAGTCGAAATCTGCGGGCCCTGGAGGTCCTCCGAGCGGCGTCCAGCAAGGGGGAACGGCACCGCGACTGGCACGACGGAAGCTGGCCCGATGAAGGTGAGGGAGGGTGCTTTGGTCTTGAAATCGATGATGCTATATTGACCAGCGATGTCTTCATATCCTGCCTGTTCCCCCCTCTACCGAGGCACTGCTGCCCGATAGACTTACTAGTGCCTCGTCTTCTGTCCAGCCTGGGTATTACTCACATCTCATATGTACGGTTGGCGAGAAGACAGGGTATAATACCGTACCTTATTGACGTATATGTCGTGTAAGGGAGTCAGCTGCAACTTCTTACAGGTACTGTGCTCCCACCGGGTGCAGCCTACCACCTGCCTGCCTGCAGACGCGCAGCCACATTCGCCATCGTGGAATGACAAGGTCAGCTTCCGGACAAACGAGATGAAAGTTGTGACGGAGCAGCGGTGAAGGATTTTTCCTGTCCGTTCTCGCGGTTTGGCGCGTCAATGCGCACCGGGCTGGGACGCTACAGGAGGAAAACGAGTTCAGGCACACGTTGATGCACAAGCAGGCAGGATCAGCCTGGAGTGGGGCACCCCGGCCTACTTCCGTTGCCTAGGGGCATGTTAGGTTTTTCTCTGGTCAATGGTGTTTTGTTGGCACGAATGCCATGTGCCAGGGGGTGTCGCGACCGGAGCGGATAGGAAGATGCGCGTTGGCCCTGCCTGCATCGAGATGCATGTAAGCGGGAAAAATTTAATCAATCAGTCCCAATAGGAAGAATGGGGAGATGCGGAGGTGATGCCTGGAGTTCCAAAAGCTGTCGGCGCTGCGATTCCTTCCCTAGGGGAAGTTCATACCGACGTCGACGGAAAGCGTCCGATTTAGCAGGGGTGTAGATAACGTGTCGATGAAACCGGAACTGGAACGGCCAGAATCCAGGGGAAGACCCGACAATAAGCTGAATCTCACCGTTAGTCGTCTTTCTGCTTGCATTGTCCTGGGCGCTGGAGAGCCTATGTGATAACGGCGCCGGAAGATGTCGGAACAGGCACGGCGGCAGTCTGGACTCAGGAGTTTGAGCCCTGCTGGGGGTAACCTATCAGTTGGTGGGGTGGCTATTTCTTTTCGCGGGGGACAGACGGTCGAGAGAGGGTCAGGGGGGAGGCGCTCTGATTCATCGGTACGGGGCTATTATTGGGCCAGGCTGGAGTCGGGGAGGGATGGCGAGCGGTGCATTGGCAAGATTGGGTAGGGGAAGGACCTGGACATCCATTATTCCCAGCATGGGGGGTGTGGCGTACATATCAACAGTACGTACCGCACCTGGTCTCGGGAAGCGAATTCCATAGGCTGACAGGCCGTAGCGCATTGCCGTAACTGATCCGGCGATTGCCTCGGGTAGATTACGTACCTGGTAGGCTCGTGTTCGTGGCGATGATTGTGATAGCTTTCAGCTGGAGGCGAGAAGGGAGGGAGAGGGAGGGCAGGCGAGACCTTCGCATGCCAAATCCAGCCTTCTCCAAGCCGACAGAGGCCCTCGGAAGCAGCAGAACGGTGTGAGCTGGCTCGTGAACAACGGATGGAGGAGCGGTGCTGCTGGTAATTGGTGGGTGGGAGTGACCAGGGCAGCAGAGAATCGCGGGGTAAGCCAAGATTTGCATGGAGCCAAATCTACGTAATGTAATACCTAGCAAAAGCTGTGGACTGCAGGGTGCCTCTGCCTAGCAAATGGTCTAGTCCCAAGCACGGCGGTCAAATCCGTAGCCTATACATAGTACCTGGCTTTTTCGTAAGAGAAAGAAAAAAAAAAGGGTCACGAGATATGAAGAAATTTGCATCTGGAATCACGAACGTGGCCGGGACCCCAAGCAGATACGGGGTAACCACAGATCCAAATTACAATGAATGCGGACTACGCTGTTTGCAGGTAATCGACGGAGGTAGTCGGGCTAGATCTGGGCTTTCCCCTGTCCTGGCTTGCTCCTGTCTTGTGCTATCATCACATGACACTGCTGGCGGGACTGGCCAGGCACTGATAGGCGCAGCCCAGCCCCAGACACCAGTGTCATATCATCATGCCAGCTGGAGCTGCACCTTCGCTGACACGCACGCACGGCCTGCAACATGCCATCCAATCGTGCACGGCAAGACGGCCACTGCGCATTCCTACGCCTCTGATATCCGGCAACAGACAGTTCAGTCATGCGGCCTCCCCGTGGCGGGCGGTTCGTTCCAGACGCTCTAGCGGAGGCGTGGGCTGCTATAGGCTGGCTGTTTGAGGTGTGGATGGTGTGTGGCTTTGCGCTGCCGGTCAGTGGAGCCTTTTCTGGGGGCGTGTTGAATCTTTTCCACGTCTGGAAACCATGACGCCGTCTCTGTTGCAGGTCCTTGCTTTCCCGGCGTCCGGACCAACGGGCCAGCCAGGATGCTATCGTCAAACAGCAATTATTGTCCAAATGGCAACCTGTTGTGTAGTAGCGGTGGCGATGAGCACTGCTGGAGAGCCGAGCCCTGACATCGAGGTCGTCGGCGAGCAGGAAACGTGCAGATTCTTGCACGGTGAGAGGGCAATTGGCAACGAACGAGAGCCAAGGTTTATCCCTTAGATCCGTACGTCCTTTCGTAGTTAGATTCTATATCTAGCAGGCAAATCTGCTTTCTCCCCGCTTTCTCCTCTCTTGCCCTGCTTCCCTTCTCCTCCATCACCTCCCGTAGGAAAACCAAGTTACCCAGACCACGGTTATCACTGACCAACAACAGCCGAAATCTTCTCCGACACGGATCCAGCATCGCCGTCAATTGTCCCGGAGGATTGAAATTCATACAGGGATATAGTACACCATCGACGCCCGTTGCCCGCTGATATCCAGACCTTGGCGCCGCACGCCCACGACTTCTTCCGAGATAATATCGTGCCCCGTCTCTCACCTCTACCCCTCGGCTCCACACGGGGCAAGCAATAAGCAGTCTAGAAGGTATCGTCATGGTGCCCATCATGGTCTAGCTGGTAGAGATTCCATGCAAAAAAGCTGACTCGGTAGACTTCCATTCTACTTGATCTACCCGGCTGTGGAGAACCGCAGCCCGATATCACACGCCCCTGTCGTTTTCCTCGTCGACCTTTGTCGCTTTGTACCTTTGACTGCCATCGAGGAATTGCTTCAAAAGTTTATATTAACCATGAAGGACCCCGTCTACAGAACTGCTTCTCCCTATCCTAACCCATCCGTTCCCAACCCAAAACAACAAACCCTCAAAGCTGGACCCGACTTGCGCAAGAGTAAGACGCACCTCTTCCTCGCCATCACTCACCTGGCCCTTCCTACATACCACATCCACACTCTGTCGTTGCTCACACGACTAACACCATCGTCATCTACAGTGCTTACCCACAACTCCGTCAACAAGACCGCTCTTCACCCAGGCGGTGTCCAGTGAGTCTTCTTCCTGCTGCTCACTACCGTGATGCGTGAAGCATACTAACTAAACCATAAGGCCCCATGTGTCGCACACCGAGCTGGAGGAAGAGCTTCACGAGACTGCCCACATCGACTATGACCGCGTCGCCATTGTACGTGCATCTTACGTCACCTGCCCAGCCAATCGAGACTTGCCCTCGAAAGGGGCCGGACGAAGCCGCACATGATCACTAACACGCCGGTTATAGATTGCCAACCCCTCAGTAGCAGTTCTCTACGAAGATGCGCTGGTCTACGAGACTGGCACTGCCATCACATCCAGCGGCGCCTTGACGGCTTACTCTGGTCAGAAGACCGGCCGCTCGCCTCTCGACAAGCGTATTGTCAAGGAACCCTCATCAGAAGACAACATCTGGTAAGTGAACAACACCGTTTCTGCAGCTGATTGGCAATGATTAACATAACCGGCAGGTGGGGCCCCGTGAACAAGCCTATGTCGCCCGAGGTATGTGAATGCTTTTCTCTCTGACTGGCTCAAGACTCCCGAGTCTCGCCTTGTGTTGGCTCTCCAACAGTCCCATTCCATGTTCCGTGTACCTTTGTCCTGGGAGGTTGCACTCTCAGGCCCCCCTTTTCCCCAGCCCAACTGGCGCGCAGCCGGTACAACTCTATTTGCGCCCGAAGCCTGAATTGGACAGCCTGCCACCGCGGCATCTCAGCTCGGCTATGCTGTCGGAGATGGGCGGGTCTGCTATCTGGGGCTCGGTCATCGTCCGTTGTCTTAGGCTTCGGCCCCAAGACGAGTCGTGTGCCTGCAAGCCATATTCACTTCCATGACTGGGGCTAGAACCCACCCCTGCCCAACGCAGCCTGTTCATGCAGTCCTTCCGCCGGCCAAGTGGCCCAGGCTGATGCAGAGATGATTTTCCTCACCGCGCTCTAGCCCTATCGGGCCTGGTACTTGGTACCGCCCGTGAGCCACTCGCGAATTCCTCCGAGCTCCCCGTATTCCAGGCTCTGCCGTTGCTGCTGATGCATGTCTGCACGGGCCTGCCGGCGGGTTGAATTTCCCATAATCTGGGACGGACCTGCAGTCATGTGATGATCGACGCTTTTCCCCTCTCCGACTTTCTTGGATTGGGATAGCCGACAGTACCCGTCACACCCCCCCCCCCCCCCTTTCCCCATGCCTCCCGCTCGTCCATCTCATCCTGGTCCACTTTCTGTGAGAGCAGTGTTAGCTGACATAATTCGTTCCCCAGGTCTGGAAGATTAACCGTGAGCGTGCTGTCGACTACCTCAACACACGTAACCGCATCTACGTCGTTGACGGGTACGCTGGCTGGGATGAGAAGTACAGGATCCGCGTGCGTGTCATCTGCGCCCGTGCCTACCATGCCCTCTTCATGAGGAACATGCTCATCCGCCCTCCTCGTGAGGAGCTCGAGCACTTCCACCCCGACTACACCATCTACAATGCCGGTGCCTTCCCTGCCAACCGCTTCACTGAGGGTATGACTTCTGCCACCTCCGTCGCTATCAACTTCGAGGCCAAGGAGATGGTCATTCTCGGTACCGAGTACGCTGGTGAGATGAAGAAGGGTGTCTTCACCGTTCTCTTCTACGAGATGCCAATCAAGCACAACGTCCTCACCCTGCACTCCTCTGCCAATGAGGGTAAGAACGGCGATGTCACCGTCTTCTTCGGTCTGTCCGGCACTGGCAAGACCACTCTGTCTGCTGACCCCAACCGTGCCCTCATCGGTGATGACGAGCACTGCTGGAGTGACCGCGGTGTCTTCAACATTGAGGGTGGTTGCTACGCCAAGACCATTGGTCTGTCCGCCGAGAAGGAGCCTGATATTTTCAACGCCATCCGATTCGGCTCCGTCCTCGAGAACGTCGTCTTCGACACCGAGACCCGTGAGGTCGACTACGACAACGCTGCTCTCACCGAGAACACCCGATGTGCCTACCCCATCGA